TGTGGTTCGGGTCTGGACTGTCCCCCAAATGCCATGGTTAAGCTCTTGGCCCTCCTTGGTGCTGCTGGGGGTGGTGGACCCTCAGGAAAGTTAAGTCTGTGGTCTTCAGTGCTTGGAAGTGTCTCTTAGGGCCTCAGCTCACTTCTGTTTTTTTTTTTTTTAAAGAAAGATTTATTTAATTTTAAGTGTAGGGTTATTTGCCTGCATGTATGCCTGTGTGCTACATACATGCAATGCCCACAGAGGCCAGAAAAAGGTATCAGCTCCCCTAGAACTGGAGTTACAGATGGTTGCGAGCCACCATGTGGGTGCTGGGAATTGAACCTGGGTCCTTTGGAAACACAGTCAGTACTCTTACCGCTGAGCCATCTCATGTATTTCTTCTGCACACATTGCTGTTGTGATCTGCTTCCTTGTCACGAGCCCCACAGCACCTGGACCAGCCAACCAGGGCCTGGAACTATGGGCCAAACTAATGTTTTCCTTCATTTTGCCTGTTACGGTGTTGGTTTAGTTTGGTTTGGTTGAGACAGAGTCTAACTACATAGCCCCGGCTGGCCTGCAACTCACAGAGGTCTACCTGCCTCTGCCTTTTAAGTGCTAGAATTGAAGGTGTCCACCACCCTGCCAGGAACCTTTCCTCTTTTTAAGTCGATTGCCCCAGGTATTTCATTGCAGTGCAGTAAAGCTGGCAAACATGGGTATTAACAGCCTGGCAGAACACATGGCATCACTTCTTTTCTATGCAGTAATTATGGTGACAGTTTAGATTTAAAACCTGGGACTGTCTGTAGGTTATAGAACGTCTCTCTGTGTCCATTTTTGTCATCCATATCTCAGGACAAACCATTCTTCTGAGTATGTATGTAGAGTGTCATGGTGGGCCAGTCTGATTACAGATTTATTCTTTCACTCTGCGAAGAAGATTCTCCGGAAGGTGTGCTATCCACTGGACATTTTGTTGCAGCAGGTGGCTGAGGCTGGGTTGGGGGGAGGTGGGCAGTGTCACCCTTTCCTCTGCTGTCCCCCCAGCACTGAACATTGTAGGAGTGTTTAGCGTTTTCTGTGATAACTTCCTGGGATATTTAGAACCACATATTTTTACCTCAGGATAAAAATTTAAAAAAAAAGTCAGCCACCATGGCCGTGCCTCGGGCAGCTGTACCATGGGTTAGGTCGTCTATATTTAGAACGTTCCTCTTCTTTTTTTAAAAAAAAGTTGTATTACATGCAGCCTCTCTTTAAGAAAAAAAAGAACAAAAGGCCCCAGACATTGCTTTAAAAAGATATCCTGGGGCTGGGGAGATGGCTTGGCTTGTTAAAGAGCTTGCTGAGCAAGCCTGATGACCCTGGGTTTGATCCCAGGAATGCAAGTAAAAAGCTCCAGGTAACTCACATTTGTTATCCCAGAACTCCTACTGTGAGATGGCAGCACAGACAGAATCACCCAGAAGCTCACAAGTCAGGCAGCCTGGAATATGGGGGTGGGGGGGAGTCAGCAACAACAGAAGAGACTGCCTACACACACACACACACACACACACACACACACACACACACACACACACACACACACTGGGGACAAGAAGGGCTGCATGTTGAGGGGGAAAATGAGCCAAGCAGAAAAGAACCTATGCCTGACGACCTGAGTTCCACCCCTGAAACCCCTGTGGGAAAGGAAGAGCTGACTCTCAGAGGTATGCTCAAGTGTGTAAGCATCTGTTACACCTTCATGAGCAAATGGCTCTAGATCGCCAGTAGTTCTGGGCCCTGGTGAAGGGCTGCCAGAAGGAAGGCCTTGTAAGGAGGAAGTGTGAGCAAGCCAAAGTGTAGCATAGATCAGTAGTCATATTTGGATCATTCCAGAGGGAAGTCCCTAGCAAGGGCTTTGTGGGCACTTTTTGATTGGGTGAGCTTAAGTAGTGGGCAGTTTCTAGAGGTTAGTTGCTGGTTTCTAATTAGCCTGGGATGTAGCTGTTTGAATTAAGTGGGTCTCAGTTGCTTAGGTAGAAACCTGGTATATCGGAGCTAACGAAGCCTCATTACCTCTGTATTCACTACTTTGCCATTGCTGTGATAAAACCCCATGGCCAAGGCAATTTATTGGAAGCAAGGGTTGGTTTGGATTTGTGGTTCTAGAGAGGTAAGAGTTCATCCATCGTGGCGAGAAAGCATGGCAGCACAGGCTAGAGCAGAATGCTGAGGACTTACCTCTTAAACCACAAGCAAAAATGGACCGGCATGTGGCTTTAAAACTTCAAAGCCTAGTAACACACTTCCTCCAGCAAGGCCGCACCTCCTAAACCTTCCCAAACAGTGCCGCTAACTGGGGACCAAGCATTCAAACATCTGAGTCTGTAGGGGACATTCTCATTCAAGCTCCCACAGCTCCCAATTAATTATTCTATGAGAAGCAGTAATTATAACAGTTAACTTCTCAACAGAAATACTAGCTAATACACAATGAGATAATACCTTCAAAATGCAGAGGGTATGTCAGCTTGGGTATTCTTTCCTGGTTAAACTACATACAGAGAGTGAAAGAATTAACAGCCAAAGATCTTCATTAAAGGAGATTTTTATAGGATGTGCTTTAAGATGGAGTCAAGTGATTCCAGAAGAAAGGTGAGATCATGAGGAAAGACCAGATGTAGGCAAAGTGAAAGATGGGTGATTAAGTACTACCTAAGTTGTAGAGTGAATGTTAAAAATCAGACAGAAATATATCATCTGAACCATAGTTAAACATTCCATGAGTTTCCTGTAAGTCAGGAGTATGATGACAGTTAGCATCTGACTTCTTATGGATGCTAACATTTTGAAGAGAAGCACTAAAAAGAGGACGTGGTATACAGAATATGGAGGTGGGAAATCTTCATGAAAAAAAAAAAAAAAAAGACTGGAGATGGGAACGAAACCAAAAATGTTCAAGTGTAGCTTTGAACTTGGTAGAAATAGATTTAAATGTGCACTGTAGCCTCCATGGACTGAGGCTGCTCTCACTGAAGGCATGAATTGGGAAAGAGAAATTAGATACTGATAAAGGGGATCCCCCAACACACACACACATTCTTGGAGGGCTGAGTTAGGGCTCAATGTGTGCCTAGCTTGCTAAGTGGTCGGTACTATTGTACTGTGTGTTTATGGGGGTGGCAGTTCTCCTGAGCCAGTGAACTTGATCGTGGTATTACTGCTGGTGTGGGTTCAGATTGGTCAATGCCCATCATTAATCAAATGTAAGATACTGTCAGCTGTCACTCAGAAATTGTCAAGTACTCCCAATATTTCTAAAAGTTTATGTTTATAAAATGATGTGTACGTTTTAAACAAATAACCAATAGATTTGTGAATCACAAATTAAAAAGACCCAACTCCCACAGTAGTGCTCAGGAGAACAATTTTGGCATATTTTTCTATTCCATGTCTGTGCTTTTTTAGTAGTTTTTTGTCAACTTGACAAAGGCCGAAGTCATCTGAGAAGAGGAAATGTCAGTTGAGGAATCACTTCCATCTGACTGGCCTGTAGGCAAATCTGTGGGGGGTTTTCATGATTAGTAATTGATAATGGAGTTCTGCTTTCTCCAGTCACCAGGCATGTATGTAGTTCACATAAATATGTGCAGGAAAACCACACATACATACACATTGTGGTAGCTTGAAAGAAAATGGCCCCCATAGGGAGTGGCACTATTGGGAGGTGTGGCTTTGTTGGAGTGGGTGTGGCCTTGTCGGAGGAAGTGTCAAGCCATGCCCAGTGTAGCCTCTGCTGTACAGTTGCTTCTGCTGCCTGTGGATCAAGATATAGGACTCTCTGATCCTTTTCCAGCACCATGTCTGCCTGTACACTGCTTGAAGATAATGGACTACACCTCTGACACTGTAAGCCAGCCCCAATTAAATGTTTTCCTTTATAAGAGTTGCTGAGGTCATGGTGTCTCTTCACAGTAATAGAACACTCGCTAAGACATACATAAAATGAATACATCTTAAGAAAATTAACATATGCGAAGAAAGAAACATATTCACTATAAAAGTTCTGAAGAATATAGAAATATCAACAGGAAATGAGACCCATAAGCACCACCTGTAAAGGTGCCCACTTTTAATAATAGGATGCTGTCTGTTAGATTTTTCTCCATGTATAAAAGACATACGCATGGGGGTTAAGAGTTAAGAGCTCTTTCTGCTTTTGCAGAGGACTTGGGTTCAGCTCCCAGCACCCACATTGGGTGGCTCACACTGTCACTCCAGTTCCAGGGGATCCAATGCCCTCATCTGGTCTCTGCAGGCAATAGGCACACACAGGGTACACATACATGTAGTGTGCATACATACTTGCAGGCAAAACATTCACGTAAATCTTGAAATAAAGATGCATGTATTTTTGCTATTAGAGGGATCCAAATTAGAATTTTTTTTGAGACTGGATCTCACATAGCCCAGGCTAGCCTCAAACTTGTGTTCCTCTTACCTCAATCTCTCTAATTCTTGGATTACAGGCATGCACCACTGCACTGGACCACATAATAGTTTTTGCATATATCACATCAAAACATACAGATCTTCTTTATTCTACATCATTCCATTGTATAAGTCTATCATAATTTTTATTTTCCCAGTTCCTTTTAAATCAACATTTAGATTCTCTCCAGGTTTTATTACCACAATCTACATTGTGATGAGAGCCCTTGTACCTCTGTCTTTGGGATCTTGTTAACCAGCTTCTGAACTCTTCTGAATTGCCCTCTTGACATTTTATCCAAATCTGTTTGTGGACCAGTCTCCCAGCTCCCCTGCCAACAGCAAACATTCATTTTCAGTCCTAGCGATGTTGTAGGAAAACGTTTTTTCACTTAGTGACCAGTAGGAGCAGTGGTGAAGCCAGACTGGCTATGTGAATTACCTGGATGATTTCCATTGTGCCAGCCAGAGGCCCCTCAGGTGTTCTCCGTGTATCTCGATGTCTGACCCTAACCCTTCTGTCTCCCCGTGTTTTGCAGTTGCGCCAGTGGCCCGACTCATATACAAAGAAGTTTGAGCACAGAATCTACCCCATCACATTTTCTGTTGGAAACCCTCAGGAATGGAAGAAATTATTCAAACCCTGTGCCGCCCAGAGACTCTTCCTTCCGGTAGGAACCCCGTTGTTAACAAGATGCAGCTTGGGAAAGACTTCCACTTGAAAACAGTGAAATCACCTGAGGTGTGTTAGAGACCCTTACTGCGGGGGGGATAAAAGTGCCCCCCTCAGTTCTAGCGTTGATACTCTCAGCCTGCTGTCTGCAGACAGAGGATCTAGAGGCTTTTCCCTCAAGATTTTGGGTCTGAGAGCAACCAAAGCATGCCTTAGACAAGGGACTTTGGGACTGTGGCTTCACTATTTACTAGCTTGTGAACCTCAGCCTCAGTTTCCTCCTTGTGCATGGCTCGTAGAACTTGGTCAGTGTTAGCTTCTGTTAGCATTTCTCAAACAACAATAACCATTACTAGATGTGCCCAGAAATTCATAAAGGGTCCAGAGTCTGGTTTAGCCTTTCAGTTTTAAATTTTTGTAACTGAATATTTTTGTTTTGTTTTTTAAAAAAATCTTTAATGTGAGAGCATTTGCCTACCATGCACTAGGCCCTGGCAGGGTTCCATTCCTGGTACCACAGAAATGAGGAGGAGGGAGGAGAGATAAAAAGCAATAGAGGAGGGAATATGAAAGGCATTGAATACATCAAAACTGAGGCATTGAACTGGGAGGGAATTGAGCTCTGAGTATCTGAGGGAGCCATGCCTTCCGTAGACATTTGATAGAGTGTCATTTAGGTGACCATGGTCTTGCTCCCTAGACCTTAAGTCTAACTGGGACCAAGGCAGAGAAAAAGCGCCATGGATATATGTCATATACAGTCCCACTGTATCCTGGAAGAGATCTTAGAGACCATTTGTGGCAAGACACAAATGAAGTAAGGTTACTGGATAACAAAGATTTAGGAGTCCTGAGAGAGAGAGAGAGAGAGAGAGAGAGAGAGAGAGAGAGAGAGAGAGACAGAGACAGAGACAGAGACAGAGACACAGAGAGACACAGAGACAGAGAGACAGAGAGACAGAGAGACAGAGACAGGTCCAGGCAAGAGACTAGTGTGTACAGAGGCCCTGATCTGGGAAGAGGCATGTTTCCCAAAATAAAGGTCCATGGAACTAGAACAGAGAGAGAGATGGGGTCGAAGATACCAGCAGGGCTGGAACTGCAGACTCTGAAAGTCCCATGACATAGATGTCTGCTCTCTGTTTAAAGGCAGTGGGAAACCATTACACAATCGAGTATGGAAACTGGATGGCCTGGTTTGTGTTTTGATGAGGACAAACATTTGTGATGGATTTGAGACCCACTTGACAAACGGATTTCCCAGCTCTTATTGGAGTTGAAATGGGGGGGTTGGGGAAGGTAAAAAGGATTTCAGCCAGGTTTGGGGTGATTCAGTTAAAATTGTCAATATCTAATCATTCAGACCACACATTTCTCATATAACTCGATCTAAGAAATGGATGGTGAGATTATGTAGAGATGAGGAAAACTTCAGGACCAACAGCTGGGTAAAAAAGTGGCATGGTGTTTGATTTTGAAGTGTCTAGGACTATCCAAGTTGGGGGGGGGCGGTGCTTCCCCATCTGTTGGTTTGGAAACTCTAAATGGTGAATTTAGCATTTCCAATATAGAAATCAGTGAGAAGGGCATGACTTGGATGGATGGTTGCTACTAGTCTGCTGCCTAGGATTGCCACTTATTTTATTTTTTAAAAATTTATTTTTTGGGGGCTGGAGAGATGGCTCAGGGGTTAAGAGCACTGGCTGTTCTTCCAGAGGACATGAGTTCAATTCCCAGCAACCACATGGTGGCTCACAACCATCTGTAATGAGATCTGGCGCCCTCTTCTGACCTGCAAGCATGCATGTAGGCAGAACACTGTATACATAATAAATAAATAAATAAATCTTTAAAAAAAAAAATTTATTTTTTGGATTAAAGGCGTGCGCCACCACCGCCCGGCAAGACAGAGCCAGGCGGATCTCTGTGAGTTCGAGGCCAGCCTGGTCTCCAAAGCGAGTTCCAGGAAAGGCGCAAAGCTACACAGAGAAACCCTGTCTCGAAAAACCAAAAAAAAAAAAAAAAATTTATTTTTTGGGGCTGGAGAGATGGCTCAGAGGTTAAGAGCACTGACTGCTCTTCCAGAGGTCCTGAGTTCAATTCCCAGCAACCACATGGTGGCTCACAACCATCTACAATGAGATCTGGTGCCCTCTTCTGGTGTGCAGACATACATACAAACAGAACACTGTATACATAATAAATAAAAAAATCTTTTAAAAAAATTTACTCTTTTTATTTGTGTATGTATATACCACATGTTTGCAAGTGCCCATAGAGGCTAGGAGAGGACATTGGATTCCTGGGAGCTGGAGGGACAGGCAGTTATGAGCCACCTGATATGGGTGCTGGGAACTGAGCTCAGGTCCTCCACAGAGCAGTATACACTTTTAAGTACTAAGCTACCTCAACAGCCTCAGGTGCCATTTAATTAAATGACATGTTTCTACCACATGCAGACCTGTCTACATCTCGTGAGATTTGTATGAAAACCTGGGTAAGGAATGACTGCTTGAAAGTGGAGCTAAAATCTCTAGAATGGTGATGTGCACAACAATTACCATTTGAGGTGAGAAATGATGTCTCTATTTAAGGTAAAAGGGTGTATTAGAAAGCCAAAGATACTCTTAGGAAATTGTCTCCCAAACCTATCCAAGATTTGAGCAACTCAATGGAAACACATTTGAATTTTCCCTGCCCTTGAATTGTGATTTTATGACCCTATTAAAACAACAACAAAAACCAAGCTCTCTACAGGATGAGTATGATTCACTCCAGCTAAGTGAGCTGTCTGTTTTGAATGACAAATGGGTGTTAGTGTTGCTTATCTGCTTCTAGTAATGGAAACCAGCCCTTCTTAAAAATAATAAAGAGAGATTGTGGTTGACAGGACATTTAACTTCTCCCAAGTCCTACAGCATAATGGCAGATTATGAGCGTGGCTTTGGGGAGCATTGTTGAGCTATATGGATCTTCAGGGTAGTTTGAAGTAAAGTCAAAATCATATTTCCCATGTAACCCCCCTCTATGAAGCGAATCTATTAAGGCTGCACATGGAAAATGGACCCTGTAATGCAAGCATTCTAGCAGATGTCTGACTAGGGGAGAACTGTAGATCTAGCATGCCTCGATTTGAATGAAATGGCTCCCATAGGCTTACGTGTTTGGACTCTTGGTCTCCAGTTGAACATGCTATTTTAGAAGGTCATGGAGCTAGTGGGTGCTAGAGGCAGTGAGGACAGGGGGTGGACCTGGTGATTTTTTAGCCTGGCTCCACTTTCTGCCTGTTCTCTGCTTCCTGACTGTAGATGCGGTGTGACCCTTTGTTTTGAGCTACTTGCTGCCATGACTTTCTCACCACGGTGGACTGTATCTCCTCAAACTGTGAGCCAAAACAAACCCTTCCTTCCTTCAGTTGCTTTCATTGGATGTTTAGTCACAACCATGAGAAACATAACTAATACAGTTGGCATCTCCCCCAAGACACTCAGTAGAGACCTTTTCTTAAATAATGTATATTTTCTCTCTCTCTCTCTCTCTCTCTCTCTCTCTCTCTCTCTCTCTCTCTCTCTCTCTCTCTCTCTCTCTGTGTGTGTGTGTGTGTGTGTGTGTGTGTGTGTGTGTGTGTGTGTGTGTGTGAAGGTGTACATGCTGGTACCTGCCTGGGTGTGGAAGTCAGAAGACAACATTGTGTGTCCTGCTTTATTACTCAGCCTTATTCCCTGTAACAGGGTCTGCCTCTCAACTTAGAGCTTGGCTGGACACCAGGACCCTCCTGTCTCCAGTGTGTGCATGGCCACACCTAACTTTTTATGTGGGTCCTCAAGTTCTTACTCTTGTACAGCAAGGACTTTTACCCACTGAGCCTTTTTCTAGCCCTCAACTAATATTTTAACATTGGAGCAAAGATTTTTGTATCACATGCCTTTCAGATTCTGATGTACTATTAGAAGAATTCAGATTTCACCAATGCTTGGGTTATTAAGTCCTAAGAGATCAATTTACTTTTCTACTTCTGAGGATAATGGCCCAAGGTGTAGGACTGTTATCAGTGAAACTACACTACAGGTGGCTTGACTAAGTTCTCTAACATGTATCTTTCTTTCAGGCAATTCGGTAACGTAAAGTAGCCCAAATAATATGCCAACTACAAAGAAATCAAATTTAGTAAAAACCAGGAAGCCCTTCATTCTACAAAAACAGTTGTGTGGTGATATTTTATTTGTGCTCTAATAAATAAAACTTGCCTAGAGATCAGAGGAAAAACCAAGCTATTATAAGTAAACACAAAAGTCATGCAATGGTAGCACATGCCTTTAATCCTATCACTTGGCAGGCAGGGATCTATCTGGATCTCTGTGAGTTCAAGGCCACACTGGAAACAGAGCCAGGTGTGGTGGCACACGCCTTAAATTCCAACACTAGTTAACCATGGAGGTCTGTACAGACAGACAGGAAGTGACAGAGCTGTGCAAAAAGAGGAAGTGATGTAGCTGAACAGAGAGAGCAAATCAGATGGCAGAACAGCAAAGCATATAGGTGTGGGAGGACAGGAAGTATCTCCCATTTTGGAAGCTGCAGAGTTGGTGAGGTAAGGTTAGCTGTGGCTTTTCCTATTCCTGTGATCTCTCTCAGGCTTTAACCCCTATATCTGGCTCCATTGCTTTTATTTAATAAGAGCATTTAGAAATTCATCTACACACTTGATTGAACGAATGCACATCATCTTCTCCCCCCAGTTAATGGGAGGCTGTGGCATTCTTTAACAGCTGCACATTTCACTACCCACTGGGCCCATGGGATCACAAAGGCCTCTTTCATCAAGAATAGAGGTGTGTGGGAATCCTAGTAGTATTTAGGATAGAGCAGAGGTAACTGAAGGGCAAGCATTTCAGAAACTGGATTGTCAAGTAGTACCTAGTGTGGTAGGAACATGCTATTCAGATTTTATGCAGGGAGAAAGGATTTCACTGAGTTTTAGTTGATATGGTCCTAGTT